GTATTTTTATCTCCCAACATTTTTCCTAGCAGTTAAATTTTAGTTTGATCTCATGTATAGAATCATGAAGATCAAGAGGTGCCACAATTTATTACAGTACATTTAAGGTTATTATAATAAAGTCTTAATTCCATTTCAAAATTCAGAAATTAAACGTGTAACCTGCTCTAGTGGAGGTGTCCCTGGCGGGTTGGAACTAGATGGTCTTTAAGGTCCTTTACAACCCAGGCCATTCTATGATTCTGCAGTGAGGTTGAATATGGATTGGAAAATACAACACAGTAAAGAGCTGACACAGAGTTGTGCCTCCCTGACAAGTTTTCTTACAGCTGTATATGTTTTTATGTCACTCACAAGGCTCTGTGGCCCACACAAGGGAAGCTGCAGTGAAGGGGGAACACAATTACCTCAAGCGAGCAGTGAGGGGTATGGCATGTGCTCGCCGCTGGAGTGAAAGGCATGTCATGCACCTGCTTTGTGACTGCAGCCTGCCCTGAGCTAGCACTGACATGGTCCATCTTGTGGCATGCCACAGGATAAGGGAAGGCATGCAATACACCGCAGCTGCAGCCACAACCACGTCTGTGCCACCAGCCCCGGGCCCCGAGCCTCCTCACTTTCCAAACCCTGCCAGCTGCTGGCAAGCAACAGGATCAGATGGAAAGTTCAAGGGAGACATTTTGCGATCTTTCATCGATGTACCAGTTATAACTTGAGGAAAAGGAAGGTGGAAGACTTAATTTAGGCCACAGAACAATATTCTACATTATTAGTATGAGATATGATACTGATGATGCTGTAAGAGCTCAGTATTATGGCAAAGTAGCTACTTCAACCTCCTTTGTCTGAACAGTGTGGTTAATGGAAACCCCACAAAAATCATGGTACGTATACAGGAACTGCTGCACTTCATCTTGCAATGAGGCAGTCTGGTATACTGAGACCCAAGGCCCACATGTTTGGAGAAGGTGTAGAAAACTCTGTCACAAGACAAAACTATGTGAAAAGTCTGCTTATTCATAAAGATGCGGCCAGCTTCAGGAGGAAGGCAGCAGCAGCAGAAGCACTCTTCAAATGGAACACGTAATGGCATTCCCACAGGAGTATCAGCTCATCTACCTGCATCTTATAAAGGACAGGAAGCAGCTCATTTGTAATAAGCAATGTTTATTTGTAGAGCATAATGGATAGAGAAGTTTCCTGCATTGATAGAGACCCCTATAAGTGCAAGGTACAGTGTCGGGAGAGCAGGATTGTGTGAGAAATTTCCTCTGCATTTTTGTGGGCCTTGCCTTGACAAGGCCAGGCACAGACAGTAAAAAAAGCTGCGCAATCATCATGGCTTCAGGCTCTAAAGCTGAAACAAAGAAGGATCTGTGCCAAAATTGAGGTGGAGTCCCAAAAGGTAAACATATATCGTCACCTCATGTGGACACCTCCAATAATGCAATTAGAAGTGGTCAAAAGGGCACGTTTACATTGTGAACGCTTTCAAGTAACTAATAGTAGAAGAGAAATCATGCGCTGGGGTGTAGTAAAAGTATATAAAGGCTATCTTTCTGTAAATAAAGCGGACATTTTGCGGATCACATTGATCGTTTGCAGTTTGTCCCGTGCCCCTCCGCCGACAGCACTGCCTGATCTCATTTCCAAGACTTCAGCAAGGCAAAGGCTGGTCCTGTCAGGGCCCAGTCTGGTGCCTGGCAGCCCAGAGCTACATCCTTGCTGAAGATGCATCCAAACCTGGTGTTAGAATTGTCATCATCTCAGCCTTTCCAAGTCCAACTTTTGCATCAAAGCTCAGTAGATCCAGAACTGGAGGAGGGAAAAAAACCAAAACAAAACAGTTTTTGGTAGTGTTTTGGGTCTAGAAAAGCCACTGTGCATGAAGAGGGTTGTATGACTGATGGAGAGGTGCATACTGTGGGATTGTACATGTCTCGCCTGAGGGAGGGAAGGACTCACTCTATAAATTACTGACCAACGGGGTGGGGATCTGCTACTTCAGAAGTGGAGATCTCAACACATGGCAGGTCATAAATACCCCTGGTTTCTTCTTTACTGCAAAACCAAGACTACTAGGGAAACCACTGGCAGAGCACAGGCTTCCCTGCGTTGCAGTGAATAAAAAACCCAACACCTTTTTCAGTATGAATCATTTAACACTTGATGCAACCTTAATCATACCGGGATTCCTCTTCGGTATCTAGCAGGACACATCATCTAGTTAGCCAGAGCAGAAGAGCAGGATTTCATCTCCTGCTTGTGACTGTGCCATGAGAAGCTGCGGGAGGCAAGAAATGAACTTCAGTTTCTCTTACTATCCCTGTGATCACTTTACCGCATTCCAGAGCCATGGCTTTTCCCCCACACTGGTGACAGTAGGATCTTGTAGAAGGTTTTCAATGCTCTTCTGTTGCTAGATCTTGCTATTCTGGTGTCTCAGCTAAATCCTCACCCAAGACAAGACTGCAGATCCTCCCTCTGAACAACACAGCTAAATAGGGAGCCATTTTTAATGCAGCAAAAGCAATAACTGCCATGATGTGGGAGGAAGCACTTATACACGTTGATTCACCTAAAACAGACCAAAAAGACAAGCTGTTCAAGCCAATGCTGCTCTAATCTATAAAGACAGCAATTAAAGCCGAAGCTCCTTTGGTACTGACAGAAGAGCAGCATATACAACCCTGCACTTTCTCACTTTGAGTTACCTGAGGGGGCACCACACAAGTGCCCGCGGCCACCACTCTGCTTCACCCCTCTGGCATTATAGGGATAGGTACAATTTTGGAAGAATTTCTGACAGAAAGCTAGAACTCAATTTCGCTTAGGAGGACTGTAAAATGCCTCCTGAAATGGGTTAGATTTTTTTTTCCTTCCTTCTGCATTTCAGAGAAAGTTGCAGGGAGAAGCTGTGAGCAAGCTATCTCCCTGATATGCAGAGAGAGAACATGTTTGCAGACATGTACAAGTCCTCCTTGGGCCAGAGTGGGTGGGGGAGGAGAAAGAGAAGATAGAAAAAGCCTTGGAGAAGGTAAGGCATTGTCTGTTTACCCTGAGGACCCCATGTATGCATCTTCCTTAAGAAATGGTCCTTGCATCTGACATAAACCTTTTTTTTAATTCTTCCACTACCTTGGCATTCTTGGGAAGAATACCTGTGTATGTTTTACCTTACAGGCACCCAGTCTGTCTGGGTGTGAACATGCTACTCTACCCTGGAAATCAAAATCCTGACCCCATCACATACAAAATTCAAAGGACCCTCCAAATAAAATCCAAAGGACCTGGGAGGGTGAGAAGCAAGGTCAGCAGAATACTGCCCAGTGGATGCTGCGGCCACTTGACAGGTGTGAAGTTTGCTACATGGCACCACTCCAACTTAATTTGGTGCCTCTCCTGTCTTTTCCACATCACTCTGGCTGGAGCATGCCTCCTCTGGCTCTGGCTACTGGCGCTGGCATCTCCCTGCAAAACCCACACCTCCTTCATCCTGGCCATGCCAGTGGCAGGACCAGCCATCACTTGTTAGATGATGCCACCTGTGCTTGCAACTTCTTGGAGCAAGGACAAAAGTGCTATGTTTTTCGCCCTTCCCTTCCACGGTAGTATATATTTTTCGTCAAATGTAATTATTATTACTTTTAAAAGACCTCTGACTTGCCTATGAGCCCACTGCTGCTACATAAACATTGCTTTTCTTCACTAGGTTTTACAGTCATATTTTTCTGGATCACATTCTTTTTTTCTAAACTCAAAAGAGTATCTCAATGTTACTACTTGAAATACAGCAAAACATAGTGTCTCAGCTGTTGACAGCATGTGATGAGCAAGAGAAAGAGTGGAGAGAAGACAGAGGAATTTCACTTGGAAAGCCAAGGAAATTGTTTGTCACGCTGTCACTAACAGACCAAATAACCTGTATCTGGCAGCCACAGAGGGTCCCTAAAGAGGGGACTCAAGGGCATCACATATACACCCTGTAGGACTGATGGCCTCCCTGCAACACCCCCATCTTCTGGACAGAAACAAATGTCTTGGAGATAAGGGAACCCCAAGGTCAGAATTGCAGCTAGTGGGTGATTTCCCAGAGTCCCGGGCATTGTACTTACCTTCCCAGGATCAGGAAGATGGAAAAAAGATGGAGTTTTTCCCCATTTTTTCCCCATTGATGTGGGATCTCCTGGGCTGAGAAAGTGATGCTACATTTTGAAATCAGTGGGCTCTCACCCTCCTTGTCCTTCCACAGGCTGGATGTCCAGGGAGGTCATGTTGTGTCCCAGGGAAGAACCAAGACACGTCTCATTGATATTAAAAAATAAATAAAATAAATATGAGATTGAAATGACAAAATAACATCCTTGCAGTCTTCATCTCCTTTCTCTCTTCTCCTCCCACATATTACTCGTCTACTAGGTTTTCCAATAAATCAGTTATTTTTTGTCCCCTGCAGCTCTGATCTCCACACATAACATTCAGTATTTCTGATGATCTCATAGCAGTCTCCAGAGAAAACAATAATTACCACAGAATTCATGAATTTTTGGTAGAGTCATTCAGCATCCAGAAAATCAAATCACTGTTCTGAAGCAACACAAGGACCACAGAGTTGCTCCTCCTTCAACTTTGTCAGAGAATGAGAGAATCGCAGAATATTCTGAGTTGGAAGCAAACCACCAAGATCACTGAGTCCTTTTCTTTAATACTGTGTAGCCTATTCACTTCTTCCCATAATTCCTTCACCTGGTGACACGGCTGTTCCCAGGATGTAGCTCCGTTGTGAAACGGAGGGGCCCGCTTTCTCTCTTCATCCCCATTCACAGCATCCAAATCTTCCCGGTCTTGCAATCTGAAAGCAAAGTTCTTTTTAATATTTTATTAATACAGAGCCAAGTCAGGAACCTGCTACCTTTGAACCTTACAGAAATGCTGGTATTAATCCAGGAGTTCTCATACCAGGAGGTATGACACCAGGGTAAATGTACCTGTCCCTCCTGACTGCCAGTCCTTGAGAGTAATAGATCTTCACAAAAAATAAAGAACTCACAACAAAGCTCTGTTGAAGATATCTCAGCTTCCAAAGATTTTATTTTCTGAAACAAGAGAGTGATATGTTGTTATGCTTGAAAACGCATCAATTTAGTTTCCATTTTCACTAATTAGTAAAATAAATTTGATGTACCCCAAGATGTGCATTAGTCAATCAATGTCAAATAAGTCTGCCAGAGAAACTTTCAGCTCATAGACACATTAATTATACCTTTTCAAACTGCAACAATTTAAATTCAATTCTTTTTCAAAATTGAAAGTTCCTTCGAACTGAAATTTCCACTAGCTGTTTTCATCTGATATTCACTAGAATAACAGAAATCTTGAGTTAGATCCAAAGTGCTGGTATCTTCTCTCTCTTCATCCACAGGCAATGAAGGATTGAATAAAGAAAGAAATACTGATTACAAGAAAATGCTTGGGAAGATACACTGGAGAATAAGTCATCTCTTTAAGTATGTTAGAGTTTAAACAGGTGTACTGGATGAACCAATTTTTTGGTTCTTTTGTCAAGAGAAGTAATTACATCTGGCTTGACCCAATGTATATATTTTTTCCCACCAAAATTAACATTTAAAAGAATTATTTCTCCCAGACAAAGCAATTACTGTGATAATGAACATATTGACATTTTTGTGGTTTACTTGGAGTTTTACAAGTCAACAGAAAGCGGAAATTGGTGATTCTGTCCTGGAGGAGGAGGTTGGGGATGCTCTGTCCCTGGCTCTTCCCATCTCCATCATACACACAACCACTGTGTAGCTTCCCCAATGTTCAAGAACATAAAGCAGAAATAAATGGAGACTGAACACCAGAAAAAGATATTCAGTTGAGATTATGGCAAGCCCTGGAGTTACAACACATTTTGCATAGCACAGGGAGTAGTTAGGCATTGGCAGAGTGATGGGATATAGTATGCACATGTTTGACATTTCACATCTCTGTGATGCTATGAAATCCTCTACTGGAATAGTTTAATAAGCCAGAATTAATATAGCACTTTCCTATGAAAATGCAAGAGTATTTTCCTGCTGAAGTTGTCTGGAAGAAAAATGTTCCCCCTGAACAAATCACAGGGGATAGCACAAGTGAGAACTTAAGCCACAACATTGTCAAAGTATAAAAGTTAAATAACTTTAGGGTTTTTTTGCCATGTGTCAAAGATGTATGAGGCAATTCCTCAAAATAGCTTGCCTATGCACTTTGTAACACAGACTGGAATTTCCCTTCTCCTCCATTCTCATTTCACCTCTAAATTCAAACTCTGATGAGCACAATTTGTACAAGACCGTGACACTATAGTAACACTTTGGATAATTCTATTGTCTAGTTAAACATATATATGTTCAAAAAGATACTAAAATCAATGTGATAGATTTTCAAATGGTCTTGTGGTTCATGTTGCCCACATCGTGTTATTGCATTTATAGTTTATTTTAGAGAAATATTTTTTACAATGGTCCAAAAGGGTGAAGTCATGCTGCTCACAGCATTCACTTATTTGTTCAGTTACTACAAGGACGATTTTTAAAATCCTATATTCTGTTACTCAAACATTAGTTTCTTCAATCCACTGGGAACCAATGCCAGACAAACAACACTGCAAATGACATGTATGCCAGAAAACAAGTGCATCTCTGTGACTACAAGCTGATCTCGCAGCTGACTTACAGCTTTTCACTTTAATATTACTCATCTTTATAACCATTTGTATTTTATTCCTGAGCTCTAAATTTTTCAGAAACTAGAACAAATAATACAGTGTTATCGAATGTATTGTACAGCTGCAAACACCACCTATTGAATCTGAAGTAATTGTCCTCTGCTTTGTCTTTGCCTGAGGTCCTACTCTATTAATTCTAAGAGGAGCAGGCTTTAGGGGTTCCTTTGTCCAGACACTTTTTTATTTAATTCTTACTTCATAAATTGTTCCAGAGTCATGTGCTGTTAGCAACCTCTGAATCAAAAAAGTGCCTGTTTCCCTGTAGATTTTGCCTGGAATATCAGTTTAATCACAAGTAGTTTTCAAGTAGTCTCAACGTTTACCTGCTTTGCCAGACCTGCCCACATATACAAATGACTATCAGGTTTTGAAAGACATAGTTCGTGTCTTCCCTTAAATGTCACTGCCATCTGCAGTTCTACCGTCCAGGTACATGACTTTTTTTTTTTTTTTTCTTCCTTATAAATGTCATTGCCTCTTTTGATCAAGTTGTTCTTGCTCACCGCTGGTGTGGCAGCAGAGCTGGGCACACCATCGTGCTCCCAGCTTCATTCCTGGCCTGCTGCGGGTAAGGCCACCGAGGCCCCCACAGCACCGTTAGCCCAGCCAGGAGGTATGAGCTTTTGGAACACAGCTATTCCTATCAACCCCCAAATTCTGGGCTGCCATCATGGCCCAGCCCTCAAGCTATGCTGGGTACTTAAGAGATAAGGGCTAAGCAGTTCAACGTATTCCCATGGTCTTAGTCTCTCTGCTTGGACAAGTTGCAGTAAAGCCACCACTTACTGACGATACTGATTGACTGTTTCGATACTGATACCCACTTAAAACCTACTGCTGCATGAACATAAACTGTCACAAGGCACTGGGAAGAAATGTCAGTCTTCCACCAGTTTGGGCTGGCTGGTAACCAGTAAAATAAATGTAGAAAATTGCTTGTCCTAACTACTCAGTGTGTGTGCTGCCTGGGTCTTCAAAACAGCATCTAAATATGCTGAATTTGTAAAAATACACCATTTCACTTAGGCATTTGACTGGGCAAGAGGATTTGTGTGGTGATTTGCGCTAATTAATTTGGGCACTTCTTTAAAAAATCCCATGCAACTTTTAAATAGAAATTGAGAAGGTGAAAAGGGGAAAAGACAGTGAAAGCCCTGCAGCTTGCAGGCCCACCACGCCTCTCTACTGTTCTGAGGCCAGTAGTCATGTCAGAGGTCTGTTCTTCATCTTGCAGTCATCACATGTTGGATGTCCTAGAAGGCAATGAAGGAAAACAAGCACCACAAGCACTTCACTTCCTCAATTTAACTGAAAGTTTAACTGGTACATACAGATCGGAGGTAAATTTACATTGTCTTTCCAGGCTAACTACCTGGTATAGATGGCTTCATGGATTCACTGTTATCATTGTTCAGCTCCTGAAAGAAAAAATTATTTTTGGTTATGTTGCTGGAGTCAGGTTTCTAAAAGTATTGAGTCATGAATCCATTCAGTCATGACTCCTTCACTGGCTCGGGATTAATTGCAGTGAGAAAAGAAAGCCAATAGTTCGTTGAGGAGTTTTTTTATATTCCCAGATGTAAGAAATCCTATTGACCATACCCTAAACTTTTGTTGCTAAAAAGAGTGCACTGGGAAACTTATCACAAATTCTAATGAGATTTCTTCCATCTCCCCATAAAATTTGGAGGGACACTGATTTTAAGATACCTTTGATGAGGTTGCATTTTTAACAAAATATATTCCTTGACATAAATAGTCATGCTCACAAAGGAAGACTGTTTTCACTATGGCTATTGGACCTCAGGATGCATCCTCTTAGTCAAAATAGAGGCTAGTGAGAAGATAAGTGGATGAAGCACTCAGCCAAAAGCTGATCTCTTTGAAGACACTTTACAGTGTATCTGGACTATACTGTTTCATATATTACTCAGAATGTTTCCCTCCACTCCAAATAGGCATAATCTTAACAGGTAAATAAACACTAACATTCCCACATAGGTCTGTTGTATGCAAGTGAAACCCGGATGTGTATTGAACTAAGTTCTCTGAGTTTCGAAATGTTCCAGTCTAAATCTCAGTCAGATACTTTGCTATACGTATTATATTCCTTACTGGCTTATTAATTTAGATGTTCTTGTGCATTTAGATTATAATTTCAGAGGGTTTAGAAGCCATCCCTAACACAATGTCTGGTATTCTTGAAGATATTTTGTCCTGGTACCCTCAGTGTTAGCAGCCACATAGACATCATTAGTTTGCATTTGGTAGAAGCAACTGTGCAATCAAATGAGTTCCTTAGAAATTCACAATAATACCAGGCAATAGTATTAAAACTGCTGTTGTATATAAAGTTTGTAAAAAGTTTAAAAGAAAAAACTACTATATGAAAGAGTATTCTCATAACACTCAATTGGAACTGCAAACACAACTTACATGACACAAAGCTGTTGTCTATCAAAACCTTCTCCCAGCAAAAAGCAAAACAAAATTACTAGCACTGTTGTCTTGAAAGAGCATTTTGTATTATAGTTCATAATTGATACGAGTCTTAAATCTCCTGGTACAATAGAGTGATCTCACTTTCGTGACCTTCGCTGGCAGTGCCAGTTATCCAAGCTCACAAATCTTACAGCTTACCTATGAGAAGACCACGAATTCAGACCTCTGCTGCCTTTGTGAAAATGGATATTTCCTGGTTTGAAGACTTTATTACATGCTGCATAGAAAAAATATATGCATTTCATACTAAAATCAACAGAAAATCTGTGCACCCTGCTGCACAAAGGAATGTGTAATTTAACCCACTGTTCTCTTTGAGCTGCATTAAATTCCAGTTTAGCTGTGTCCCTTTCAAGGTACTGCACATCTCTCTAACTCCTCCTTTGTCTGCTACGTAATTTCTTTCTGATTCTCCCCCTGCAAATTTTAACCCATGTGGCCTTTCACTGTAGCATTAGACGACCTTTCTGGCTACCTTGAAGTTTTATCTTATCAGCCTTTTTCTGAACCAAGAAAAGTCTGAAGCAGTGAGGATGCTCCTTTCTCTCAAGCCTGTTTAAATCATATAGTGCTTGCTTGCACTTGCCATTTCACATTCTCTGCTTCTATTATTGCTGACTGCACTGAGTATCACCAGCCAAGAGGCTCTGTCTAGTTTAAGGAAGATGCTTTATGTTGTCATCACTGGACAAAGGAGCCTAAAGTTTTTTAAAAATCCACCAGAGCACCTCTTGAATCTCCTCTTGATCATGCTGTACAGAATTAGACAAAACTCTGCAGAAGGAGAACTGCTTCCAATGATAAGGAAAGAATGATGTTCTTCACTGGCACGTATGTGGGGAGAAAGATGCAAATTCTCCAGCCTAATTTCTAATAACATGTACAACCAAGGGGGAAAACTCCCAGCACTGTGATACCAGATGCCAGATACACTAAACTGCACATACCTGTGATAAACACAGCATCTTGACAACACTCTACAGAAAGGATGTGTGTATGGTGGTACTTGGTCAAAGGTTGGACTTGATGGTCTTGCAGGTCTTTTCCAACCTTAATGATTCTATGAATCCATAACCTGTTCCATTCACCTGTCTTCTGTGTGCTCAGGAGAAAAAATGGGGTTTACAGGCTCTCTGAAGGCCTGGAGTCTGAAAGTGAAGGAGTGAGCCCAAGGTCGGTGACAGAGTGCAGAGAGGTGCTTGCCAGCACTCCTCCTCCCTTGACTTGAGCTTGAGTCTTCAATTGTACAAACTGCGTATTTCTCTCACCCAGCCTACATGCTCCCTGCCTTTTCTAGGGTGCTGGAAGAGCTGGTGTGTTACGAGGGAAGTCAGAGAGCTACTGAGGTACAGAAACAGAACTGTGAGTCTAAAGTGTTCCTGTGCCCATCAGTACAGTCATAGGAACATCCATGTAGGCCCAGAGCCTTAAATAATCTGTTCTCCCAGTCACTGAAAGGTTCATTCATGACCACGGGCCAGCTGGTGCATTTGCACTTCTCTGTGAGATTCACTGTGCAATGAGACACTCACATGCTGAGAAGTGTCAGGGTGATTTTTCTCTGAAGGGACTCTCTGTGCTTTGATGAGGGCTATTGTGAAAGGGACATCAAATTTGCAAAATGAAATCAGATGAAGACATGCAATGCTTTTAGTGCCATATAACTGAAAAGAAATATATTCAGAAAAACATAACCAGATGTAGATGTTCCTGATCGGGTTTGCAAAATCTGTTAAGCAATAACAGGTGTTTAACCCAGTGCATGGATGACATAGAGGGGGAATATTACAATGCGTTACATCTCTGCCATGTGACTGTGGTGATAGTAATGCTTGCTTATACCTTTTTGGGTCCCGAGCTGCTATTACCACTGTGGGTTCTGAACCACATGGCTGTAGATGTCTGAATTTAACAGAGAAGGGGTATCAGGGTCATGCAATGTTTGACAGCCTGCACAATTCATGTCAGAATTTTCTTTTTCTGTACAGTAGTTGCTAACAGGAACATAACAACTTCCTGCTTTTTTTGTAAATGTTTACTCTCCGAACAGCCCAAAGACATTGAGGAATGATGAATAGAAGCTCCTTTCTATTGCTCTGAAACTCCACCAGTGTATCTGTACTGTATGGGACAACATTTTGTCTGGCTGATACCCAGCACTTGATGAATCTGCACATGGGATGCAACACAAATGGGAGAAGCTGGATAGGAGTTAGACATAAGCACTTCCCATGCTCCGAGTTCATTAACAATGTCAAAAACATATAGAATTATTGTATGCTGATTTCTCCTCCCAGCCCCCCCCCCCCAAACTGTCAGTCAATGAAAAATGGGGAGACGGGGCATGTTTTCACCTACCTAGGGAGTCTTAAGTAGTAGAGAACCTGTGCAGTTATGATGCCAATACATACATACATATGAGGCCAGCTACTACAACCCAATACAGGACATAATGGCAAAGCATCTCTTCAGAAAAGATGGAATATTTCTCTGGTTAGGAATGAGGCATCCAGTAATATTCAAATGATTGTGTGCATTCTCTTCTGGAAGGAAAACAAATGCACATACAAAGTTCTACAAGGTAAATCCAACTAGTTGCAATCGTCTGGTTTTGGATTAAATTCATTTGGATCTGATTCATTTGATTTAGGGCTTGGGGTGTGGGGTTGTGGGGGTGTTTTGCTACCCAGAGCAGTTTAGTTCAAATATTGAAATTGAAGAAATTCATTAAAAAGCACATGTTCTGAAATAAGCAAATACAGGGAAAGCAAAATTGTTATTTGTTGCCCTTTTTCCCACTAGAGAACATAAACTACAACTGTTTTTTTCAGTTTTAATAAAATTGTGATATCAATTTGCCAATAACAGTTATAAGCTCCGGAAAAGTAACAGTGTCTGAATCTCACCTGTGAGAGAAAAAAGACTGTAAAGCCTTTTTAGGAATACTCATAGTATTTGTGCATTAAAATTTGCCAAAATTTTATGAAATAAGATGACAATATAGGGTGTGGGACCTTTGAAGTTCTTTGGTGACTATAATGAGTATTAACAGCAGATCAATATGTCTGAAGGCTGCTCTGAAGTTCCGTAAAATCTCTAGAAATGTAGTGTCTATAGGCCTTGGCAGTCCTGCTCACAGTGGTGCGGGACAAGGATGCAGAGCCAGAAGAGCCAGGCTGACAGAGATCCTTACACAAAACCTCTCATCTGTAGAGCTGAGGTTGAAAGGATTTCTTTCCGTGTTGTTATAGGTTAGAAATCCAGAAGAATTTTTTCTTCCCCCTGCCCCCCCACTGTAGGAAAGACAGAGTTTGAATGGAAAGGGGGAAGGGAATCAATTAACTTTACAAAAGAACTAACTGACCAGACCGCATTCCTAATAGATGGCACCATTGGAGGTTGGGGGGAGAGGGGAGGAGTTTTGGGAGGGGGTGGCTGGGCTCTTCTCAGAAGGGGAGAGGTCAGATGACTGAG